CAAAGTGCACCAGCTTCTCCACCGCCAACCGCGCATACCTCCTGCCCGTTTCGACCTCGCCCATGTCTACATAAGCCCGCGCGAGTATGTCGTAAGAGTCGCCCTTCTGCGCCAACAGCCCCTCTTCCTTCAAAATGCCGTCCAGTTCCTCCGCAAGCTCCGCCATCCGCGCCGGCGACGAGCGGAAGACTTTGTTGTTGAGCGCCGACACGATCTCCTGCATCCGTCCGCGGCGTGCGTCGGAGGCGGCCACAGCGGAGGCGGAGCTGCAGAGCGAACATGTGCAGTTGAATCCCCACTCTTGCAGGGTCCGCTGACGGTCTGCGTAGAGCATGTTGAGCGGTGAGTCTGGTTATTGGTGTTAGCTTGGCGAGTGCCGGTGATGTACACAGAGGATGGCGTCTCACAACTGATACTCAGCTCTTCCCCCGGCTGAATATCACGGTACGCCACTACCTCCAAGGCGAGCGTTCGTGGAGAGTACCGAGTCACCGCGCTGTGTCGTGTAAGCATACAATCTCCCAGTGCCGCGGGACCACCAACTTTGGCCGACATTCGTGGTTGATTCTCTGCTTTCTAGTCAGCTTTCCATTTATCCTTTGTCCAGAAACACCAGGTTCTCCCTACCGCAATGTTCGTGAACAGCCCATAGTGGCTGACATTGTTAAACGAGGCCGCAAACGTATTTGTGTGCAGAACGTCCTCAAGCACATGCCCGCCCGTACTCCTCGCGAGCTCAAAGACTTTGATCTGGACCTCCCTCGGCAGCCGCACAAAGCCCTCCTCGAGAACCCACAGCGCCTCTCTCGGGTCGATCTGCTCCCACACTTCCGTGGCCACGGTCTGCAAGATGGTCGGATAGTCGCGCATGATGACCTCCCCGGCGCGAATCGTCGAGTTGGCCACGACCCCCAGCTCTTTTCCGGGTATCTTCCGGACCTCGTACGGTGGAATTCGCGGCGGCAGAGAAGAAGAGCCCAGGCTGAGCCACCGAGGGTCAGAGTCCTCAATCAGACCAAGATCTCCAGCTGCCGTCTCTGGGGATGTGAGGATGAGCACTGCGGAGTCGCCGTGGAAGTCATCCTTGACGAAGGCGCAATATCTGGAGTTGGTCTTTGGGCTGGTGCACACCGGTCTATGTGTCCAAGGCGACGGCTCCGAGTTCTCAAAATTCTTTTCTGGATTGTACGGCAGGGAGCATGTTTCCTGATGGAGTGGAAGATGCAGCGGCCCGGCGGGGTTCCAATCGCACTGCCGAGATGTCTTGATAGAATGGCCTGGCGATTGAGCTGATACACAAAACATACAGACTCCTAAACCCAAGAGGAACGAAACAAACAACGTCATTGCGGCTGCCGGCAAAGAAGAGAGGGTAACCCCAAAGAACAACAATATTGTTCTACTTCAAGACTTCCAAGGAATATCCGGGGGCATTCTCTTTTGAAAGAACCGTCAACCGTCCCCAGTCGCCGATCAGTCAATGGCATCAGTACTACAAGAAAGTCACCAAGTTGAACACCGTGTCTTGCGTCGCTCTGTTGGCATCAAACCCCTCAAAGGAGGCGTCCCAAACACACCGCGCAGATCAGACACGACCTAGTCAACTCTATCCTCCGGCCCCTGACGCAAGCCGAGCCGGCCCTTCTACCGGTGTGGTTACCGCCGTCACCCTACATCAAGATAAAGATAAGCATCGCATTTAGCCGCAATGCATGGTCGATCGGTTCAGCGGCCGTCTAAAAGCGGGATGGATCCCGTGGTGCAGGAGACGGAGGCTCGCAGGCCGCGATGCCAAGGCTCGCCAAGATGCTTGGTTTTTGGGGAAATCATGAAGTGAACAGGTGGTCAAGGGGGATTCTCCAAATTGATGGAGGGGGTATTTGGGGGCCATGGAAATACGACGAGAACTTCTTGGCTAAAGTCTTGGTTTTGGGGATGGGAGGGCGATGAGATCGTTAGGCGTGGTCATCATCGTATCGCCATTCCTGCTACATTGGCCAAGCTTACGACAAAAGGTAGGACATTCTTTATGTTCGCCAGCTATCAAAAAGTTGAAACACTATGTAAGGTCAAAAGAAGAGCTAAAAAGATGTGATGTGAAGTCAATCGCTGACGGGAATTGAGCCCGACGTGGCTGGGATGTGTTAGTGATGATGTCGCTAGGTGTAATTGGATGATGATGGCGCTTACGGGTCGAACCCACAACCTTGAGATTAAGAGTCTCACGCTCTACCGATTGAGCTAGCCGGGCAGGCTGATGTGTGGTTATTGATGTCGTAAGGGCAAGAAGGTCAAGAATTCGGTGGAAGTTGTGGGCGGGTCGAGGGCACGATGCGAACGTATCCACCGTCAACACCAAACCGGCCCCATCGTGAGAAGATGGGCCCATCCGGCCCTTCCGGAGACTCCAGGAAACGCGGCCGGGGCTATGAAGCCCAGGAGCGGAGGATGAACAGTGAGTCGGTGACTTCCGTGACCGGCAAATTGTGATGGGCTGCCCGCTTCGTCTCTTGGGTAATGTCAAGTCAGCGTGGTATGGGATGTAGTAATCCAGCACGAAGAAATAGCCATCAATATAAGTCGCCAACGTCTTGATCATTGGCCTGATTACTTCGGAGCCGTGCTAAAGTCTAGTTACATGTTACACGTATAGGTACACAAACACGCCGGGTATTGTCCAGGACATCAGCCTCTACTTCATCCGACCCGCTCGTCTACTCCTCCACCCTCTCCCGCACCAGCGCCCAACACTTCCGCATGCCCGTGCCCATCGATTCGTCCTCGGCCTCTTGCACAGAAGCCCATCTACTCCGCGCATGCGAAGACACATCGTCTCCGGGCCCGTCCGCCTCAAACAGGTGGACATGCATGGTCAACTTGAGATGGGAAAACAACCACGGCACGCTACCCAGCTCCCCGGCATGCCGTAACTTGAGCTTTTTACCGTCGGCAATCAGCCCCGACGCATAAGCCTGAGCATCCTTCTTCCGCGACGTTGCCGTGTTGCTGGTCGCAGCGGGCAGGGTATGGCTGGGGAACTCCCACAGTCCGGCAAGCAGGCCTTTCTCAGGGCGACGGTGGATCAGGAACTGCCCATTGGCGCGCCGGATCGCGCAAACGAGGGCCTCTTCTTCGCGGACCGCCTTCTTGACGACCTTGAGCGGGAACTTCCTGGCATGCTCGGCAACCGTCTCGAGAGCTTTCGCGTCAACGGTCGGTTGCTGCTTTGGGGATGCATCGTCCTTGTCGGCGTTCTTGGAGACGAACTTGAACGCGGCGAGGGTGGCTTGCTTCGGCCCAGGAGCAGCAGGTTTCGTCCCTTTGACGCCCTTAGTCGGCTTCTTCGGAGGAGTATCAGAGTCCTCACCAGACAGGCCCCCGTCATCGCCGTCTTCCTCGAAAGGCTCACATATCGAGCACAAGTCCTCCATGTCCTCCACTTTGGGCTTCTTCGACTTGGCAGCAAGCAGGACGCCCTCTGCGTAGGCTCGACACGTCGTCGTGATGGGACACTCGCCGCAGTTCGGTTTCGGCGTGCAAACAGTGCTCCCGAGCTCCATCAGCGCCTGTCCCCATCGTCCGGGCCGATCACTCGTCGGCGCCTCCTCTTCGTCCCTCCCGTCATCACCAACCGCATCCCTCGCCACGGCTTTGACCAGTGCATCCGCCGCAGCCCAGAGGAGATCAATAGTCGCCTTGTCCGTCTTCACGTTCCCAAAAACACCCAACTGCCGGCTCAACACCCGCAACACGTTGCCATCGACCATCGGCGCCGCCCTCCCAAACACGATCGCCGAGATCGCGCCGGCCGTGTACCTCCCCACACCAGGAACCTTGGCCTCCAACTCCGCCGTGTCCGCCGGCATCAGGCCCCTCCACGCCGGGTCCCCGACAACCAGCTTCGCCGCCTCGTGGATCCGCGTCGCGCGCGAGTAGTACCCCAGCCCGCGCCACGCGCTCAGCACGTCCTCCGGCTCCGCGGCCGCGAGGTCCTGGATCGTCGGCCACCGCGCCATCCACCTGTTCCAATAGTCGATCACCACCGCGACGCGCGTCTGCTGCAGCATGATCTCGCTGATCCAGACCTCGTAGGCGCGCTTCTCCAGCGCACGGCGCAGTTCGGCTGCGTCCGCGACGGAGGCCGGGTCGATCCACGCTTTGCGCCACGGCATGCCGCGGGTCGTGCTGATCGAGTCGAACCATGAGAGCAGCGCGTCCCGGCCCCGCCTGCCTGGTTGGCCGTGGAGGAGCAGCGGGCGGTGATATGAGTCTGCGTGTGTTCGGGAGGGAGGCGTGCATGCTTCTTTGCAAACATCTCCTGGGGCCTCAAAGAGCTTGGCGTAGAGCTTGGCCGTGTCAGATTTGCTCGTTTTCTTCGGCCTTTCGACTTTGCGCCGCTTGGGTAGTGGCTCAATGACCTCGTGGCCCTCGTCCTGTTCGGCGTCCTCCGGAGTGAAGTCCGCCTCAGACGCGTCCTTGCGCGCTGCTGCTGGTGACGCCCCCGGTTTGGAAGCGATCTGGCGCGCTCGTGGCTTCGGCGCAGCTTTCTTTGGTTCAAAATCAGGCTCGTCGTCTGCTTGGGCTAGGATTCTCTTGGCTGCCGCAAGCGAGCTTTGTCGCCTAATGACGAAACGCTCCATGATATGTGTTCAGGACAATGGCATTTTCAGTGATGGAAAAATATCACACCAAGACGCGTCGTAGCACTTTAGCTTTCGCTGTCATTAGAGACGCGCGCTGAGTGAGGATGTGGTAGGTGCTCCTTTAGCGCCGATTCAAGCAATCGACCGCTGGAACTTAGATCGGCTCAGGGAATTCGGACCCTTGTCTTGATGTGTCGCTCACTATAATTTGTTCATGTCATTGCGAAAGAGCGCGCGAATGAAGTAGTTAAACACAACGAAACAATGTGAATACAAGTAGCGGATCGAAATTCTGCGAGCTGGTATTGCTCAGGATTAGCAAAAATAACGATTTGCTCACGAACAGCGACATCAAAAAGGTCCTACCAGGATTCGAACCTGGGCCTACGGAAGGATCTGATGGTAGTCAGAATCCGACGTCCTAACCAACTAGACTATAGGACCGTGCTGGGAAAGGAAATTTCCAGCATTATGAAGCCATCGTCATCCGACAATACCTCTGTTTCGCTTCCCTCCTCACTATTATCCGCCTCTAACGTTTCTTATCTCGTTCGAATCGCTAAGGCTTTTCTTTAAATGGTTGATTCAAAGTCTATCGTTGTTGTTGTACCTTGCAAGTTCTAGAAATTACTCAGTCCAGCCATCTCCAGCGCAAGTCATCCAGTTGACTCCAACAAGCTTCAACCCGTGCTTCTCAGCAAACTCAGCCGGCTTCCACGACCGCCTCTGCACAAACTCCTCTCCACCAACATCGTCCTTCTTCAGGTCAAGACCCTCCGGCTCACGGTAGAGCAGGAACAGGTATCGGTGGGGCTTCGAACTGTGCACAAAACAGAGTCAGCGGCCTTCATTCCAGCCAATGGGAAGGGAACCTGCTCGAAGGCAAAGACTGTGAACACTTACTCATCCTTCGGCCCGGGTCCAAGGAACTCCGTCAACGCGGGTTTCGTCTGTCCGACAACCGCTTCTCCGCTCAGCGGCTGCAGTCCGGGGAGGACCCAGTGGCGCCAGAAGGCGAACTGCGGGTTGTCCGGCGTGGGCGCGTCCGGGTCGGTCAAGAACAGCGTATAGGAAGCGTTTGAGGGCGCGCCCTCCTCGGCCTCAAAGGAGACGCTCGGCGCGAGCTTGCACTCCCCGGCGCGGAAGAAGTTGCCCGTCTCAACGGCCTTGCCAGCAAACGACACCCCAAGCTTGATCGTGGGCTTGAAGCCTTCCGGGATGAGCGCCGCCGCCGACCCTGGGACGAGCTTGGCTTGCTCCAGGGTGCTGGTGAGCTTTTGTGCGTGGTCGGCGAGGGACATTGTGTCGTTCGTGATATTGGGGAATAACTGAATTGAGGTAGAGAAGAATTGGGAAAGGCTGAGAGGTGGCTTTGATCGCGTTCAAGAAGAATTTCGATGATCGCCTGCGGGCGGATTTGACCCGAGGGCGTGATGCGTGATGACCTACGCGGGGTCAATCGTGGGATGAGGGGGATCGATGCCAGTGGTGGAAAATTGCCAGGCCAGCTGCGCCAGGAGTCTTGGCAGATATAAAGGTGCTCACGCCAAATCTGCCAACGTGTTTTTTTCCGAAAGATGCGGAAATGCGACCCAGAGGTTGTTAGTGTTATTTTCAAAAGTTACGACTCTGAAGCGATGCTTCATAAAGAATGCCCGCGACCTCTAATAGACTAGATAATCAAGTATGCATCGTGCTCCACTGAGGTCATGATGACGATATCAATCAGCAGTCCCTTCACTTGCATACCTAACTTCTTGTCAATCTATGACAGAAGAAATGATTCTGAAACTCTGCCTCGCAAAAAAGAGAAATGACTGATTCTTGGGAGAAGGTGGCCCAGCAGCCACATTGAGTTGCGTTTACAAATGCAGTCTCATCGCGTTACGATCTGATGATGTTTGGCAGTGTGTTGCAAGGTTTACGACTCCTAGTCAACGCTATTAACACATATCAATTCTCGTTTCAATTGACCCCCTTGCTCAATCGAGTCTTCTGGTTTGCATTTCCTTCGACACGAGGCCTGATATATCTTGACACGAGGATGTCTTTAGGCCGGAAGAACTGATACATCGACCAAGTGACTTCTGACCACCGTTACATAAAGAGCTGTTGCGCAATTCATATTTCAATTTCTGTTGACAGGTCGGTTCTCAATGTCAGAATAGCATGCAGAAAGACCGACGAGTAATTTTGTAGATGTTGAAATTGGGTTCCATTACTGAAATGTTCACTTCGCTACAACCACTAGAATCTTGTTGGTGAAGTATTCTTATTACCTTGTACTCTGACGCTAGTTAGCTTAGCTTAATGTTTGATTTTCTAGACTCGTTATGTAAGTTCGTCTCAATTGTCGGTTTAACCTGTTGCTCTTATAAATATAGGCTGGCTTATAAGAAAGACATTTACACTTAGATTTGCCGTCGCATGGAGGTCTTAGTTGTCTTGAGCGAAGTAAACGGAGTAGGGAGAGTGGATCTTCACAAGCTGCGCACAAGGTAAAGCGAGGAAGCGCGAGTGGGTCTTGTCAGTACTTGAGTGGTTTGGCTGGCTGGAATCATCAACCAATCAGATCTCAAATCCCCGATGGCACAATTGGCTAGCGCGTCAGACTGTTAATCTGGAGGTTGGTGGTTCGAGCCCACCTCGGGGAGTTACAGCGGTTCAAATCCGCCTCGAGTTGAGATTCTCTTTTTGCTTTTTATGATTTTGTTGATATGTGTGTTGTATACAACAGGCCCGTCCGTGGTTGAGCCGTTAGATTTAATCTTTCCTTATCTTCTTGCATAGTGAGCTGAACCTTTTAGGTTTTAAATATTTCTATACCTAGATTGTAAGTATTTAAGCTCTTGATACAGCAGTCTCTTTTCACTTTTTTAATACCTAGCTTGTGAGCACTGCATTAAGCCTTTACTAAAGTCTACGATTGCAATAGACTATAAGTAAACTTAAGTCCTGTTTAACTCCCTGATTTTAGCACGTATCTTACTAGAACTTTTCAATTAAAAAATGTACTTCTAATCTAGGGCAATGTGTATCCACCATCAATCACCAGATTGGCACCTGACACCATGATTAGTACTGAAGTCTCTAATATCGAACGAGATACCATACCTGTCATGTAACTGCTTGCGGTGCTGGCGAGGTACACATACGAGCCCTTCAGCTCGGCAGGTTCGCAAAGTCGGCCTCCGGGAATCATGGAGAACCATTGCTTCCTCCACTCTTCAGGATGCACCGAAAGCACTGCATCCGTCAGCAAACCGGTGATCACCACCAGAGTAGAAGTACTCACTGTCCGTCGCAATAAACCCAGGAGACACGCAGTTCACCCGCGCAAAGTCAACCCACTCCACCGACAAAGACTTGGCCAGGTGCACCACCGCAGCCTTGCTCGCGTTGTAAGCCGCCTGCCTCTGCGGCACATTCACCAAAATAGCCGACACTGACGCGGTGAAGATGATGCTTCCACGTCCGTCGCTGCCCGCCTTCAGCTGCCTCTCAAAGACCTTGGCCGCCGCCTGCGCAGTCCAAAATGCACCGTGGAAGTTGACGTCCAGCATCTCCCGGAATCTGTCCTCGGGGTAATCGATAGCAGGGATATGATCCGCAATGCCGGCATTGGCCACGACGATGTCCAGCTTTCCGCCGCCGACCTCTTTCGTCGCGGCCTCAATGACGGCCTCAACTTCAGACCGCACCTTAACATTGCACTTGTACGCCTTCACCAACACGCCGTTGCCAGACTTGGACAGAGCAGCGGCCGTGGCATCAGCCTCCTCCGCAGGCGTGCTGGTGTACGTGATGGCAACCTTGGCGCCGGCCTCGGCGAGACCGCGGGCGGCTTCGAGGCCGATGCCTCGGGTGCCACCCGTGACGATGGCCGTCTTCCCGGCGAGGTCGAAATGGGAGGCGACCGGCGCTGCGGGGTTCGGGTGGCTCGGGAGGACCATGTTTGCTGCTGAGTTTGGAGTATAGATTCGGTTATGAGATTACGTTCTTGATACTTTGTGATCTTGTTCGAGCCGAATGGTCTGACTATGGACCAGGGCAGAGACACCAGGCAAGTGCCGGGGGATTTTGTACCGGGCCATTTGCGGGAGGTGTGGGTCCGGCCGCCGTCATGGCTTTTGGCGGCGAATCAGGCATTCGGTCGACTGTCGTCCGGAACGGAAGGGGTTGCTTCGGTGCGGGGAAGCTGGGGAAGCGGACATCTGCCACCCCTGTCCGAAGGTTGGGCATGCCGGGACACTTGCACACCTGACTTGTTGCTCTGGCCTAAGTTAGATTGGTATCAGAGGAATCCTTGACAGGGGACAGACAACTTGAATCAATTCCTTCGGGAAAGCCATGGATGACATATGCTCACAATTATCTTGAGCATAATCATAGCTTGGATTTTGAACACAAAACCTCTTTCTTGAGGGTCGGCTTGACACCATGTATTCGAGATTTCACTATTCGAGATCTCGGTCGACACATAGGTATGCTTTACAATTCGAAAAACAATCTGCTAGGTTGGGGTGAAGCTGCAGATGCCGGATTGGATTTATTCAAGGAAATGACTAAATATGGTGCTACAATCATGAATATATTGTCATCATCGTGTCTTTTATTTCTCATCTATGCCAACTTCTATTTTGGTACACCTTGGATGACGACCTTCAAAGTGTCCTCCTTCGCCTGCCTTACAACTTCAAAGGCTTCGACAGCCTCCTCGAACTTGTAGCGATGAGTGATCAGCTTCCTTGGGTGGACCTTTCCTGACGCTACCAAGTTGACGGCCTCAGGGTAGCATCCCGTTGTGTACCTGATCGAGCCCTTGATGTTCAATGCGCGAATACACGCAGTGGTGATGGGAAATACGACATTCTGGTTTAAGTTAGCGGCCTGTGGCCTATCTGCACATATGAACTGAAGTATGCTTACCTCCTTGCCCATCCCAGCTTGCACATAAGTTCCGCCCTTCTTGGTCGCGAACACACCAGCTTGGATGCACGGCTCAGCACCCGTGCACTCCAAGACCACATCAGCACCCTCTCCGAGACCGTAGTCCCTGAGAATCTTCTCACCAATGGCGCGAGAAGCACCAACAGGGTCCTTAGGAGCATCGGGGAGCTTCTTCGACACATAGACATCATCAGCTGCAAAGTCCTTGGCAAACGCCGCGCGAGACTCAGAGATGTCCACTCCAATGACCTTGCTCGCACCGTAGGCCTTGGCCACGGCCTGGCAAAGAACACCAATGGGTCCGCAGCCGAAGACAAGCACTGTTTGGCCGCCCTTCAGCTCAGCAACCTTGCAAATCTGCACCGCAACAGCCACCGGCTCCACCAACGCGCCGTCCTCGGAAGTCATGTGCTCCGGGATAGGATAGGTGTAGTCGCCGGCAACGATGTAGTACTTCTGCAGGGTACCATCCCATGGAGGTGTGGCCGCGAAGA